AACTTCCTATTGGGTCTATAAAAACATCACTGCACCACACCATTATAAATCTGCATTGGTAAAAACAGGATGCTGTGACTGCAGGCTACGGCACACTGAGTTCCAGCTGCAGCGGCCAGATGTAGGTATTAAGCGCTCAGAGCCTCGGAGGAGCTGGCATCGCTTGTGTTTGCTTTAAACCACAGCCAAAGTGTCTGTTTGACATGGTGCAGCTTCGAGCGCTCTGCAATCTCCAGAGGAATGTTTACATTGGTCCAAAAGCATTCAAATGCATTCATGTGGTTTTTAAGGTGGACTTGTGGAAAGAAAACATTCAAAATACACATTTTACTTACTTTGTCTCTTTGGATCTCCAGATGTCTCCTAAATGCACCTCCTTTTAGATAATGCATAATTTGCTTTAAATGTAATGTAATTTAAAGTCTAGTATCTTTCTAAATGTATGACATTATTTATCTATTTTCTTATTATTCATATTTATAGTCTCAAAATGACTGAAGAGTAGTGAATCTTATTTGTAAAGGTTTTTACAAAGGTTTTTCGTCAAACTATATAATTCGTAGTGAGATTTATTAACAACAACATTTATTTTGTAATGGCTGTTGACAGTATGTTTTGATTTATGCAGTGATAACAAAGAGATATCCGAAATCCTATACTCTTATACATCTAATTGTTATTTCTTATATCTCTTGTATTAACTGGCCTGGCATTTGATATCCAGGTAATCCAAACTGAAAGTAATCAGGTCACATTACTTTTATATTGTGATACTTAGATTGTGTTACTGCTAAAAGCATTTAACATAACTAATAATTGTAAATGAATACATTACGTCCAAGTCCCAACACTGAGTATAATATAATAAATAAACTGTTTCTCCTGTGTTTCTCCTCTTGCAGAGTGTCTCTTCATCTTCCCCTGCCAGTGGAACTACAGGCCAGATCACTGTATGTACGGCAGTAATTGCAAAGGGGCCGAAAAGGAGGGCGTGTCTATTCTCCATGGCAACCGTGGAGTGTATCACGACGACAAGCAGCCGGCGTTCAAAGTAGTCTATGATGCAATATGTGATGTAAGTGTCATGTAATATAATCAGGGTTTATTGAAACAATTGTCACGGCACAACAAGCTCTGTTAAAACTGCACATCGTTCTTTTTAGACCAAGGGAAAAAACTGAATAAAAACAAGGACTGCCATCATAGATATAAAAAATGTGTTAATACCTAATTTATATATTACTGTACTCCCACAAGAGAAGCTGCTTAACATCAGCAGATCTGGTGTGATAACAGGGAATCTGACACCTAGTTACAAAGAGACTGTGAAAGGAAATATGTAGGGAATTAACAAGACATTTCAATGCAGAAGTACCTATCAAATATATTTCAATAGCTCCAGGGTTTGAAATAATGGGGCGGTATGAGCACTACAGCGAGAGTTAGTGACATCCCTAACATTTCTTCTTGTAATATAAGATGGAATAGAGACTGATTTTATATGTGCCGTAAGATATGAAAGGATACTTCATAGAGTAATTTAGATCCAAACCTTATTCTCCTAAAATACCAATATATATTTCCTTTGCAACTTCATAAGAGATGTGTTTTTATCAGTGAGCCAATCATCAAAGATAATAACTAAGATCTTATCAAGAGAATCATTGTCATTACATTTAATTTTAGGGTTTTATTTTGCTGCTCGAAGATCATAGAACTCTTATTAACATGACGGGATAATTTATTGCATTTTAACCAGATATTCATCCTCCTATCCATAACATTCTTAATACAGGTTAACACCAACGCTCATCTTTCACTATAAGAAAAGTATTTATATAAAATATAGACATAGTCCAAGATGGTTGGTTATTTAATACTGTAACATTAATTCCTAGTGTCTGTGAAACATCTCAGAGCAGACATGTTACAGCAAACACAAACAGGCGTAACTTATCACATTAACGATGGCTGATTTAAGAGGGTGTGTCAGTTCCAGGGTCCTGGTGTTATCCATCATTAATGCAATTAGTGACACCTGTGCTATTCCAGCACATACAAATATCTGCTGTAAGGAGGTCTACTGATGCTGTGCATTGGGAAAATATCATAATGTATCGTGATAGTATATTATTTTTAAGTAAAAGCTTGACTTAGTATATAAAGCTACTGACAATAGTAGCTGTAAAACAACGAATATACAAACAGCGAGAACCCTGTGTGTACATTAGCTTTCGGTGCTTGGGCTTTGGATTGGAATAAGGTAAACATTTAATTAAAGACATCAGGATACAAACAAAGAAAAGTTGTTCCTCTGAAAAAGAGCATATTTGAGTGAATTCTCCCTTGCTTGCCTTAAACAATCTGGGTCAGTTTTTAAATTTAGAATTTGTTTTCTCCTGCAGTAGAGTCAGCCCCCCCCCTGCACCGCTGAGATAAGCCTCTTAAAGACGAGCTCGGTCATAATTTATGATTAATGCAAAACGCCAGCACCCCCACCCGACCCCTGCTGCTGACGGGATGCGTAAATACCATTTAGTCTGTGATACGTTCCATTAAAAAAAATCAAACTGAAATAGCTCATGGATGAGAACTGACACAGGACGATGTTCTCTGTTCCTGCAGTTTCCCTTCGAGGACAACATGTTCCAGTCGCTGTTCTACCCCATCCAGACCAAGTTCCTGGACACGGTCAACACCCTGTGTGGTCGCATTCCTCAAGTCTTCCTCAAGCAGATAGAGAAGACCATGAGGAAGGCGTTTGACGAGAAAGTGGTCCGACACGTCAGACACAACTGATGGAGAAACTGTTTTATTCTGACAACACAGAGGACCAGGTTGCTTCGTCTCTCAGCACTTATGTGTTCCTGGAAAGTTATTGTGAAATCATGGTATGGGTAATAATAAGCCTATGTATACGGAGAAGCATACAGTGCTGGTCAGTGGTGCCGTAGAATAGGTTTGCCTTATTGCCGTCTTAATACATCTCAGTTATGTACGATGAAATGCATGTTGAAAAGTGAACAAAAAAAGACTGCACAAAATCTTCTTTTTTTTTTTAAATCAAGCTCTTCATCTTGAGTGTAGGCTAAAAGCGAAATGTATGACGTACTTGTTTATCTACCTTCTTTTTTATTTCCTCATTGACATACACTACACAGAGCCGACGTTGGACTTTGGAAAGCTTTACTACTTGAAGTAGTAGATTCATAAACCACTCCTCTCAAATCATGTGAATGTTTTACCAGCAAATAACTTGAAATGTGAGCATGTGTGAATGGTCTGTTCTGCGGCTGCCAAATGCCACTGACAGTATTAAATACAGCACAAAAAAGAGGAAATACAGACTTTTATATAACAAACCGAATGTTAAAATGCACTTTCAGAATGATATTATTAGGACTGGATGGTTGTGTGTTTGCAACATGTCCACATTAGATGCTACACTGTCCGGAGTTAATCAAAACCAAAAGTGCTAGCATTTAAAAATAGTGACAGCTGATTATGTGCCATATAAATATTCATGTCTGCCATGTTTACTATTACAAGAAATGAGTGGTATAGGTGAGTGAGTGTTTGAGAGGGTGTCATAGTTTTTAATATGATGTATGGTCTGTTGTGAACACATGGATTTTAGCAGCATTACTTTCGATGTGGTGTAATGATCTAAATATATCATTTAAACTGGAAACTGAAAATGGCTGTACAGTCAACATGTGTTTCTAAATAAATCAATGCAATGTACTGAGTCTCATTTACATATGTATACCATTTATGGGGATTGAAATACAAAAAGCAATGCATTCTTGTCACGAATGTATTCTTTTAATGCAAGGAGGTATGTCCAATTTTAAAGGTGATTCTAGATAATAATACAGAAGATTTGTCTTGAAATAAGTTTCTTAATTTGTATTGTTTGGTTTAAATAATAACACATTCTTGTTATGATGATTACTTCATAAAAAGCATCACACAAATGTATGCATGTAGTTTTTATGAATATCAACAAATGTTTATGAAACTAGGCTAGGAAACTAAACTTCCTGCTGTATGTGTTTCACTAATGGCTCTTATAAGTTATATATTTTTTATGTTTGAGGAAAATTATAGTCACCCAGGTATACGCCTAAGGGATTTTAAATAATTGCAGTCATTGTGTTGTTGTTCTTGAGTCCATGCCAACAGCATTGTGGACAACATATTAGCAAAACTAATAATCAGTGATATCATGTATTGAAGTACATTTACTCAAGTACTGTAATTAAGTAGGATTTCCGAGGTGCTTGTACTTTACTCAAGTATTTCCATTTTATGCTACTTAATACTTTTACTCCACTTCATTTTGGCAGCCAATATTGTATTTTTTACTTTACTACATTTATTAAGCAAAATGAGTTACTTGTTACATACTACATACATATTCAGATTCTAAAATAGTACCAAAAATGTACTAAAACATAAACTATGATATGAAATGATAGGTTAAGATATCGAGCATCAGTATATAAAGTAATTAAATTAGCTCCACCTTTACCAGCTATGATGAACACATTAATTGAGATTATTTATAGTCCAGTTAATTAATATGCTAAAATGGGACATTACGCACAATAAGTACTTTTGCTTTGGTATGTTTTGATGCCAATACTTTTGTACTTTAACTTAGCTAGGTAACATTTTGTATGCAGGACTTTTACTAACCAAGTAGTTTTACACTGCAGTAGCCTACATACTTTTACTTAAATCAAATATCTGAGTATTTAAACTCATATTTAAAACAAATTATGTTGAATTCATGTAATCAGGTAGCATAGAGGGAGCACAGCAGTGAACAGATGTGTGTGTCAGAGATATAACATACAGTCATATGTCTTTTTTGATGTAAGCCTACTTGTATTCATGTCTCAGCTATAATTACATTTATTAAAATCAATTATTCCACATAGATACTTCCTCCACGAAGCCCTGTTGCTCTTCCCAGCACAGTTGCTCGCCTGTTGCCGAACAGGCAGTGACCTCACGGCGCCATATTAAAATGCTCCCTCCTCTTTGCCTATGAGATCGTAGCTTAGCAGCAGCAGCTAGCCGCCAGTCTGCTTTTTACATCCACTGACAGAGGGCAACGCCGTGATGGAGATCGACTCGCTTCAAGAGGCGCTCCGAGGTCACTTCACTTTATTTCGATAGGTTTTGTGCTTACTGAGACAACGCTGTATATGTCTGCTTCCGCTAAACGTTGTATAATAGAAAACAAACGGAGTGTTGCTCAAAGGCTAATGCCGCTAGCTAGTTGCTAATGCTAACAAGCTGTTACACGGAAATGGTTAGCTGTCTGTTACCAATGCATTAGCCAAGGGGACAAAAATAACTAAATTATGATGCGTTACGTTATTCTTAGACCTTCGTGTATATTTATTTACTGTCATTATTTGATTAAACATGCTGACACATATTTTGAGTGAAATAACTACCAAGTGCCACCGGCTAATGGTGGACTACTGTTTGCCGGTTGTAGCTAACTAAACATGCTAACTAGTGTGCTAAACGTCAAGCTAGCAAGCTAACAAGCTAGACGTATAGCACCCATTAGCCCGCTACGTTATGTAAATAGCTAACGTTAATTGGACAATTTGATCGTCTTCAGCCAGGGTGTCGCCTCCTAATAAGCTTAATTGTGTTGGTTAAATGTAAAACATCCTAGCATTTTAACCGAGTTATCGAACATGTAGCTAGGTTAAATCAGAGCCTGTCTATCTCTGTTCAGGCTAGTTTTTAAAGAAATGTTGGGTTGTTTTCGTTGTTCCCACGTAATGTAAGTTTGTTTTCTCTTCTCAGATTTTGATAAGAAAGCAAAGACGGAGGAATGTCCTCTTCTAGAGCAGTTTCTATGTCATATTGCCAAGACAGGAGAGACATTGTAAGTGAACATAGCAGGCCTGATAAATTCTTCCCACACTAACGTTACTACTGCTACTACACCACACACACACATACACACAAATGAACACATACGAAGACCAGAGGTGCACTCGGACCATGTTCTTAAGTAAAAGTAGAAGTAACAGAGTGTAGCAATACTCTGTTACAAGTACAAGTCCAATCAAAATGTTACTAGAGTCAAAGTACAAAAGTATGGGCTTCAAAATAAACGTAAATTACCGACAGTAAAAGTACTCTTTATGCATATTTCAATGACTATGTAATATGTTTAGATTCTACTTATCAATGCATTCATATATTATCAAAGCTGTTAGAGGTGGAGCTAATTTTTTGTCACTGTGTATACTACAGGGTACCTTGTGGATTTACTCCAGATGTAACTCAATCAACAACTTTATTAATCCCGCAAGGGGCAATTGGTTATAACTAAGTCTTATTGAAGTGTTGTTTATATTTCACATCATTAATAAAATATCTGCCAAGTAACTAAAGGTATTATATACATTTAGTGGTGTAAAAGTAAATGAGTTACCTCAGAATTGTAGTTGAGTAGAAGTACAACATTTGCAAAAAGAAAAATCTTAGTTTGTTGTGCATTTTATTTGTTATGTCAACTGTATTTTCATGCCTCTTCTTAATTAATGTCCCCATAGCCAATGCGACATCCATACCAGCATAGAAAATAGGATCTTGATGTGAACAGCAGTGAGCGACACAAGGCATTGTGGGACTTTAAGACATGGATTTGAAGCTACGGTAGTGACAAAATGACAGGCTTCGGCTGGGAGTCAAGAGGGATGGGAACATGAATGGGAAATACGGTTTTACATTAAATTCAAGAAAATCACACATTGATTACAAATGCTTATGTTGTCCTTAATTAGTTCCTTTTTCCTTTCTATGTTATACGTTACAATAGGTGAACTGGAAGGTAAATGAAGACCGCTAGCTAACATTAGCCCTTTAGCTTTCACAGATTTGGCTTTAACATCATATTAACTTCTAATACCTGTTTTCTCTATAACAGGGCACCGCTAAAAAGTTGTGATGGCACCTGTTGGTGTTGTTATGATTGCTGTTAGCATGGTAGCTAACTGACCACCCTAATCTGTGATGACATATCTGTTTGGCTGTCTATTCAAACATGCTGTCAGTGTGCCAACCTAGCAATTTTAGCATTTAACAGCAGTGCACTCACTGCACTTGTAAAATAGTGTTTTATAACTGTTTTTTTTCTCTGTCGCAAACATGTGCTAGAGTTTGAAAGTGAATGTAAACAACAAGGGATGACCTGAAACATGGGGACAACTTCTCAAAATGCAGTGGGCCATGCCTTGTTTCTCCTACTCCCATATGTTTTTCTCCAACATGGCCAGTTTTTCGATCTATTATAATGTGTCATACCAAATGTGTTGAGCCTTTTTTTTGTTGCTTACCTTTTAACTCCAGGGTGCAATGGCCTCAATTCAAGAACTACTTCCTGTTTAAATTGGAGAATGTGCTGGATGACTTCAGAGCCTCGGCGCCTGAGCAAAGAGGTCCTGCAAATCCAAATGTCGAGTCAATTCCATTCGAAGATATGAAGGAGAGAATCCTGAAAATTGTCAAGGGATACGACGGGTATGTGAACATCTTTAGTAGTAGATTTTGATGACGGTGATAGTGTCAGGTTGACTGAAGGGAGATGCAAACCAGATTTTGCATGTTTTGTTCCCCATGACCAAAACATGCAATCTGTTGCTGTCCTCTAGGATTGCTGTCTTCAAATCAAGTTTTATTTTTAATCTTTCAGGTTTATATTGAGGTTTTTGAATGTTTGTTGTCCTGCTTTTTCAAATTTATAATTGGGGTGCATTCACACCTGCCTTGTATAGTCCGGTTGAATCGAACCCTGGTGCGTTTAGCCGCTTGGTGCGGTTCATTTGGGTCGGTGTGAACACAGTCCGAGACCTCTTAAGTGAACTAAACAACCGGACTCTGGTCTGCTAAAATAGGTGGTCTCGACCTAAATGAGGCACAATTGTGAAGCTAGTTGTTGAAATAATTGTAGGCGTTTCCCCGTTAACCAATATTGATTCAGAATAACTAGTTCACAACAATATAAAGTGTAGTAATTATTTTATATGACGGTTCATTGATTTCGCCATAAATATGTAAACACCGCAAATTTACATGTACTCAATGGAGTCAACATCACTCATCCTTCGATGTTGTAACGTGTTTTTTTTCTTTTTAGAATCAAACAACACGTAAAATAAACAATACTAGTTGCAATAAGTACGGAGAAGAATTAATTACAAGGGGTATCGGTTACGCTGTAGAATGTGTCGATCTTTCATACTAGAACTACACTTGTCGTCCACTTCGCTCGTGTTCCAGTAACCCTGAAATATCTAGATACCTAAACTTTTCGAGGCCTCCATCACGTTTTACTGTCCGAAGCCGACCACTCAGTTACTCCCGTACCCTTTGTACTTACCTTATGCCCAAAATGTAATTTAAGTCTTTTAGGCATTGTTTAACTAATGTTTACGAATAAACAGGAATTAATCAAGGAAAAGAGCGAAAGATACAATATGCAATGTATCCAACTTGACCTTACGCATTTTTTACTTCTGGGCGCATCGATTGTAATCGGGAAATCGAAAGTGTCTAAACGAAATTGTAGTATAATGAAGATATGGACAATAGAGATATTGTCCCGTGCGATTTCAAAAGACTACCGTGGACACCACAACAAATACAACGACAACGTACCATCGATGTGACTGGTGGGAGGATAGCACTCACTGTATAGACAAACCGACAGAATAAGATTGTACGAAAGTCACCACGGTGGGATCGGTATAAAACCGTAATGTGTCACGTGAGGTGAACGTGAACATCGTTAATCACAAAATATTGACAAAAACAAAGAGACAAGCGGTTGTACACGATCTCAAACTCACTTACATTATACTGTTGTTTTTCTCTACTGGACTTTTGTACCCCTGTGAAGATTTTACGTCACCCGGTACGAACAAAGAGAGAGGGATAACAAAAGACGGTGTACGGTCAAAAGCTAGATCACATATACACAGTATGGTATTACACAACCGGAAAAAAACAACGAATGGAAAATTGAGGGTTCCCACGTACGGAGTAGTTCTTGATCGAAGGACAAATTAACGTCTTCTTTAACACGACTACTGAAGTCTCGGAGCCGCGGACCGTTTCTCACCAGGACGTTTAGGTTAACAGCTCAGTTAAAGTAGAGCTTTCTATTACTTCCTCTCTCCGCTTAGGACTTTTAACAGTTCCCTCATGCGTGCCATACACCTTGTAGACAATCCATCATCTAAAACTACTGCCCACTATCACAGTCCAACTGACTTTCCTCTACCGTTTGGTCTAAACGTACAAAATCCAAGGGGCTTGTACTGTTTTGTACGTTAGATCAACGACGTTGTAGGTAGATCCTGAACGACGAGATAGTTTAGTGCAAAATAAAAATTAGAAAGTCCGGATTTTTATAACTTTGCACTTGCCCAAAACTTACAAACATTACATGACGAAAAAGTGAATATATTAACCGCTTCCTCGTGACGTAAGTGTGGACGGAACATACTCAGCCAACTTAGCTTGGGACCACTGGCAAATCGGCGAACCACGTTCCAAAAACCCAGTCCACACTTGTGTTCAGCCGTGGAGAATTCACTTGATTTGTGGCCGTGAGACCAGACGATTTTATCCAGCCAGAGTTGCATTGCGAACACGCAGTTCTACTCCGACGCTTAGACCTCGTGCCTCTGTGGTGTTCTTTTTTGTTAGATTCCAAATACAGCCACACTTGCGGTCAGGTTACGGGGGGTTGTATCCTTCGCATCATTAAATGCTACTAGTGTATCCTTTTTGCGCTAGATACTAGAAGTTTGTAGAGAATCGCTTTCGTTTTGTTCTATTCCAGAAGTTCTGTTAGTTTCGGTTTTCCTAACAAATTCAATATTTCTCCTTCGTCACTTGTTTTCACATCTTTGCTCTACAGTTAGTAGAGAGAGTCTTAACTAGGGGAGGAGAGGCAACACAACACTCTCTCTACTGTGACAGTTGTGGAAGTAGACGAAGTGAGAAATTGATTTGTTGGCCCTACATAAATAACTTTTCTGGGAAAGCGATTCTAAAACTTCTGTAAGGCGCAATGACACTCTTTGCAGTTTTTTAGATGCGGAAAGGATACAAAAGCCACGCCCTGACTTCAGAGTATGTATGGTCGTTATTGGCGAGGTCTGCAATCGTTC